CAATATTTCTCGAAAAAGTTATCAATTGAATCTTTTCATAAAGAAATTGGCTGTTGGTATCGTTTCCCCTAAAGATGGTCTCAAGTTGTTCTTCCTCTCTTTGTGAATATTTCGAAATTAATAAAATATCTTGATTGTTTATAAGAATTCACAACCAAATCATATACCGACCCTCCAACGTGGGTTCCCTCTTTGTTTTGCCTTATCGCAAAAAATTGAATATTTGACCTCGCTTCTACTACTAGGGCTTAAAACTTACAAAAATGGCTATGTATAGCTCGATGCCCTTTAGTTCGCTTGGTCTTTTGCTCTTTAACAGAAAATTTAAAGTTAAGTCGCCCTCTACGTGTAGGCTGTATCATGGTTTCATCTCACAATTGTAACAGTTGCAGTTCGGTAATCGATTTCTAGTTTTGCTTGTATAAAACCAGGGGTTCGAACCGAACTCGAAAAAGAAAACCTGGGTTTTTAAAAATTTTTTTAACCCGAACCTGAACCCCGTTTATATATTTTTCAAAACCCCGAACCGAACCCGGAATTTTATTTGAACCCGGGTTCAGTGTATTTTTTAAATTAATATAAGATATTTGTATAATTGTAAATACAAATATTAATAATTTACTTGACATTTTATATAATTTCAGATTTCCATTTAAGTGAAGTGTTAATAAATTTTAAACAACTTAATTCAAATATTTTATTTTAAAATTTATTCTCAAAGATTCCTATTGGATTGTTAATAAATTTTAAACAATTAAATTCATTTACGCCATTTATTTTTAATTTTTAACTTATTCTCAAAGATTATTAATTAGAGGAAAATGAAAGTGAACAAGTCAAAGTAAAAATTATTATATTGGTTATTGTTAATTTAAAGAAATATGTCAAATTTTTTAAATCTATACATGACTATGCTTTGTATTTTTAACTATATTTTGCCTATAAATAAAATAAAAAATTTATTTCTTATACCAAATCTATGTCTAGTTTTTTAATTATGATTTAAATATAGAATATTTTTTTCATCAATTCAAACATTCTTAAACCCGAGCTGAACCCGGAACCAAATCTGGGTTCAAAAATATTTCCCTGAGCCGAACCCGAACCGAACCCACCTTTTTTTAACCTTAAACCGAACCCGGGCAAAATTTTTACCGGGTTTGCATACCTGCATAAAAGATTTGGCCTTTGTATTCATCATGATAGTCAATGTGATTCTTTCAAATCGCCTCAGCTGAGTTTCTAAATCGACTAAAATCCCCCCCTCCCCACACACATTTTCATCATTGATTATAAAAGCCCGATGGTTCTATCTAAATTGGGAAAGCCTTATTTGGGATTTTTCCTGCGTAATTGTACACCAATTATCAATATTGACTATCCTTCAATAAAATAAATAAATATTCCAGATGTATCACATGTTTATCTCGGTCATAGCCAGTACCCTTGGCCAGAAAGGTTTGGCTCTTCTTCATTTCATAGACCAAAAAATTAAGCTATTTACAAGAAATTCTTATAAGTTTTAGCATTTAAAATAATCCAAATTGAATCCAAGGGGAATTTGATCTGTCGTTCTAATTTATTTTCTACTTTTTTTTTATTTGTTTTATGTAGTTTTTATTTTAACTTTTGACTCTATATTAAATAATTTTAAATATTGATCGGTTTACATATAGAACCATGAAATCAATGCATTACTAAATGAATAGCCATCGTAATGGCTTGTTTGAAAACGATCGCCACTTACATCTCCCTAATAATGTGATAAATTGAAGAAATTCCTCACCAAAAACACCAAGAGTATTGGTGACAAGTATGGTTGGGTAATGGCTAAACGTGGGCTAATGTGATTCATTTAAGCGCTACCGGAGATCCGTTAACACAGAGACGTTTTAATTTATATTAGTTTCCTGCAAATTTAAACTGCTATCTTTTTAAGAAAAACCCCGAGGCCAAAGTAGTTTTCGGTTAAAAACTTGGTTTAGCCGGATAAAAATATGTTCAAAACGCTTAAAATATAGTAATTATCCAACTATAGTGACAAGTGGGATAAAAATTACGTGAGCGATGTCTAAATATTTGTTTATTTTCAAAATTTCTGCCAAATTAAGTGCTGAAGCATCTGTTGGAATGGCCGAGAAGTCGATGCATGTGTAATCCCAAGCAACAGGAAGACCAAGGTATTAGGTTGATCCTCTATACATGTATTCTATATTTTTTTTGATACTGATTACTTCAAATACATTTTAAATATTAATTCCAGTAACCTGATAATATTAATTTAATTAAAATAATCTAATATTATTTAAAAAAAATTTTAAACATTAAATCATTTATTTATTTTTTATAAATAATATTTTATTTACGTTTCTGATTATATATATTTAAAGAAAATTAATTAGGCAAAATATTAATTATTGATAACATTATGATATAGTAATTTAATTTTTATATATAAAAATGGCACCGTTGATTGAAATATAATTATTCCAACTGAAATCCGAAGCCGTCACTAGGAAGAAGCGCACAGGGGGCTCAAGCCCCCTTAAACATTTGATTAATTTTAAAATTTTTTATTGATTTAATATTTTATTATATCATTCCTATAGGTGTCATTAGCAAAGATGCTTATAAGTAAGCTAAATAATTATATAAAATGGTATTTGTAACGTTCAAGCATAATTTTAAGTTAATAATATTTCAAGTTAATGTATTGTTTAGTATCGAACTGGATTTCCAAACCTATATAATTTATTATTTTTAACGAACCAAAAGTGAACTAAACATTTATTGAAAGTAGAGAAAAATAAGAATCAATTCTGAAATCTGATAGAGAAATGGCAAGAGATTCAGCAACAGCCAATTCTGTTGATATCACAGAATCTTTTTTTGCAAAAAATTAGAAATATTTGATCATTATAATTTTTAAAAAACAATGATAGTGAATTATAAAATTATATGTAAAATATTATTTGATATATTTTCTAGTTACTAAATGATTGCAGAGAAGGTCAATTTCCCCTCATTTATCGTTTTATGAGATCCTTTCTTTACCGTGTAGAACTCAGGGCATCAATGTTTTTACATTTTGACTCTATTTTTAATTGTATAAATTAATTTTTTATAATAAATAACAGAATCTGAAAAGAAAACATGAATGCCAAAACCTGAAAAACTGTAGATTGAGGTACTAATTTACAGAAATAGACCAAATCAAAGTATATAACCATTTTACCAATACTCTGCCCACATTACCTCATATTTAATGACTTTATAATAACATCAACTGGTATATAAAAATAACTGCTTGAACAACACAAAAGGCATTTATATAATTGTTATTTATTGTTTATTAGTCTTTTTTTTTCAAGTTGTATCGATTATTTGCTTCTTTTATTTCTAATTTCAAGTTATTTTCGCTGTTGCTGAGGGTATTTGATTGTTGTGTGATTTAGGTGAGCACTAGTGTGCATTGCTTGATGGTTTACATATAATTAAAAATAGATCATAATCTTTCAAACAATTGATTATTTCACAATAATTTATCAATTATTGCTTATCTAGCTTTAATCATATCTCTAAGAGGAAGTTCCAACAAACTACATAGTTTTATAATTTGGATTAGCCGTTTCATATATTCCCTTCTTTAAGAATTTACGTTTTGGTTAAGATTACAGGTTTTTCCTTATTAGTTTTCTTTCACATATTGTTTAAACTGGTTCCAGTTATATTTGTTGCATGACCTTCATCAATGTGAGTTGCTAAGAACTTCATCTTGAGAAATTTGAAAACCATTATCAGTTGAGTCTGTGTAGGAAAAAAGTGACATATATTACTTTTATAATGCTTTATTTAATTCAAACATTTTTCAAATCCGGTATTACAAATATCTAACACTCTTTTCATTATATTCTGCAATCCAAAATTTTTAACACTGATTAATAATTATAATGTGCAATCCCATATATTTAACTTTCTTTGATATTATAATAAATAAATATTTTGAGTTAAAACATATTATCTTGTTCACATTTATTATTCATATTTTTTGTAAGAAAGTATATATGCATAATAAATGGAAAATTTGAATACTTTTAGATATAAATTAAAAAAGAATATAGGAAACTCAGCCGAAGGCCGAGAAAAAGCAAAAATTTGTTTGATTTAGCCCATGAGATTGTAAAGGCTATAACTTCCTGAGGATCACCTGAAATTAAGCGCATTTTTTTCTGAGTGTTTTAAGAAATCCCGGGCTCTAAATCCAAAATTACCTAGTGAACAATAGACATTCTAAAGTGATATTAAAAAGGTTACTATATTTATTAATTTTTCTAATTTCCGCTAACAATGTTTAATTAACAAGAAAATGAATGTAATGTAATAATAAAATGAATGCAGTTACATGAATTACTTAGCGTCGTAAGGTTTTTTCTTTTATGATTTAAATCAAAAAAAATCGTAATTTAATAATAAAAATCATGATTTTTGACAACCCTAAACCGAATATTTCAAAATATAGAGTTCTTAATATAGTTATCCTCTCTTATGTGCCAAAATTATATAAAATTTTTAAAATTAAATTGAGCTGTTAGTCAAAATGTGTAACGAAGCTTAAAAATTATTCCATTTACGACAATAAATTACGACTGCTCGTGTTAGCATGATCCAAGCTGAGCTATTTGACTTGCATTTGTGCTTGCAAACCTAAAAAACAGATCGATTAAAGGCTGGCTGGCCAGAAATATTTTTCGCTATAAAATTTAATGAGTTTGGTGGTATTTTACTTTTTTAAGGCTTTTTTGAAGATATCGAGTTTTTATTATATTTAAAAATTTATTTAGTTTTGCATATGTCCATTCCAAGCTATATAAAAATATTATTTTTAAATAATTAGAATATTCAATTATATGCTATATCATCATGTTAAAAAATGCAATAGGCCATCGATAAATTAAGGTCATTGTATAAATATAAAATTTGTTATATATTTATTAAATATTGCTTTTGAGCTTTTGTCAAATTTAAATAAAAGAAAATAAAATACATTTTTTTAAAGAGACATGATAAGTTTATAATATATTAGTTTGTGAGTTTTATATTAAAAAATAGTATATAAAATGTTAGAATTACAAGTGTAATAATTTTGTTTAAAAATTGAAATATAATTTGTAAAGTGGTTATTAAAAATTTTTGGATTTAGGAATAAATTTTCAGCTGAATACTGGAGCAGGTGGAGGTGGCGGAGGTCGATCTTTTTTGGGCTTTCTAAACGCTACTAAAAAATAAGATAGTTATTTTAATTTTTAATAATATTAAATTTTTTTAAAGACCTGCAGTATAATTTTTTTTTCGGCCTAGCCTGATTTTATAAATTTATTTCTCTATGGCCTTTTAAGGGCTAAAATTGGGCTAAATTTATTTTCTTCATACTATATTTATATATAAAGAAAAATGCATTTGATCTATCTTGATAAAATGTGTATACTTTTTTAAATATTATAAAACGCGGAAAAAGACGTTTAACAATTGCATGTTAAAATACATTTCTTAAAAAAAAACGCAAGACAGAACCGCTTCTATTTGCCTGCAAGAGGTAACATTTGAATGGCCATGCCCAGATTTGAAAAAAATGTCGGTTTTTTTAAAACCGGCCAAGATTTAATATTTTTAGGCCCGGCCTGGGTCAGATTTTTCCTTAAAAAATTTTTTAGCCCAGATTTCTTAAAAAATAAATCTCGGATAGGGTGAATAAATTTTTTCTAAAGTCTTGGTTTTTAAAAAAAACTAAATTATACCTATTCGGCATTTTACGGATCGATTTTCAGAGAATATGAAATCCATATATAATAAATTTTCAAATTATCTTATATTCATTTGTCGTAAAAGGAGTGAGTTTGAATCACCACTTTCTATTCGACTGGTCGGTGGCAAAAGTTCCTCTTATAATTTAATAATCTTTTATATAAATATTAGTCATTTTGCTCTCTCCCTAGCAAATACATAATTGCCTGAATTTAGTAGAGATAAAAAAAGAGATAAAATGAAACTAAAATAAATTTTCTCTGATTTATTGTTTTTAATTTGATTAAATATTTTCTAAGGAACGAAAAAATTAAAATAAGAAATATAATAAGTAAATGAATGCGAGATATGATACAATTTTCAATATATTTTATTTATTTTTAATTTTTAATAATAATGGCGATTCAAAATAGGCCTATATCCGTGTATATCAGGCTAGGCCAACGGGTCTCTAATTCATTATAATATAGTGAGTGAATATACCTTTACTAGGATAAATTTTGGTAATATTGACAAAATTTTGTGGCTTAGGAAACATGCTAGCTAGTCTAAAACTAAAACGGAATTCAAATTCTTCACCTAAATATTATATATAAAATTATTTTTAATTTAAATAAGCAATTGAAGAAATATTTAGTTATGGAGAAATTAGTGGAAAAAATTGTAGGGTGAATAGGCAAGTTGCAAAGGTGAGGGGTTGAAAGCTGAAGTAAAGATGGCACTTTAAATTTGTTCAAACAATAGCCGCATGTAAGTGGGAAAATCAAAAAATAAAAGGCGTTTTTTTAATATATTTTTTTTGAATTATTCAATTTATCTGTTTTTTGTGAATTTTTATTTCTTTAGGCTACGACCTAAATATATTTGAAAAACCTCCACTTCAAAATTTCATAACTTTATAAAATTATCAAACATGTCCAAAATCTTTCCTTAAAACATTTTGAAAGTTTTGTAAATAAAATTATTTTTATACTTCCCATTTTGATTATATAAGTGTTGTTAATCGACTGAGTCGAAAACTGAGCCAAGTTTTGGGTTGAAAAAATCGACCCAAACTGATTTGAGTTATGAACTCGGGTCGTGAACTCAAGTTCGACTCAGGTCGTGAACTCAAGTCTATATACTTAAGTAGACTAGAGGACAAATAGTTCTATGAACTTGAGTCGTCAATTTGAGTCGACTAGAGGACGAATTATTAATATAGATATTTGTTCTGTTTTTATTTCGCCGGGGTGGCCTAATGGGTTAGATGTATGCTTGGAAACAGAAGGACGAAGAAGGACGCAGGTTCAATCCTGGTAAGGAGCATAAACTTTCAAATTTTTCTTCGATGACTGATGTGTAAAGACATATGGTAAGATGAATTTTGGAGCTTAGAGATGACACCCCGGTCATCGTCAGGCCTGGACAGCCGTATGCTAAGGATACCTGTCCAATAAACAAAATGAAGGAAACAAATGGAAATATGAATATGAAAACTAGGGCGTTCCCTCCAAGCGAAGCGCAGGGTGTAGACCTCCATCCTGTGAAAAGTAAAGTAAAGTTCAAAGCAAAGAAGACAAGATTAGCAAGTTTGAATATTGGGACGCTTAATGGTAAGACGAGAGAGTTGGCATCAATGTTGAACAAGAGAAAAGTTGATATAGCCTGCATACAAGAGACGAAATGGAAAGGTCAAAAGACTTTAATGATTGGAGATGGGTATAAATTGTACTATAATGGAATTGTTAGCAACAGGAACGGTGTCGGTATCATCCTCAGTCAAGATCTAACCTCCTCGGCAGTAGAAGTCAACAGGATCTCTGATAGACTAATGAAGATAAAACTCTGCATTGGTCAATCAATACTACACATCCTATCAGTATATGCTCCTCAAACGGGTTGCAAGGAAGAAGAGAAAGATGACTTTAGAGCTATCCTTAATGAAGCTGTAATGGAAATCCCTAAGGATGACCTGGTCATAATAGGTGGTGACTTAAATGCGCATGTGGGAAAAACAAGAGATAGCTACAAGAGGCATCATGGTGGTTTTGGATATGGAGAAAGAAATGATGAAGGAGAGCATGTACTGAAATTTGCGCAAGCCTTCGACCTTGCCTTAACCAACACCTACTATAAGAAAAAAGGCAGTCATTTAATAACATATGAAAGTGGTACAAGGAAAACACAGATAGATTACATGCTAATCTCTCGCAGAAGATTAAAAGATGTAATAAACTGCAAAGTCATCCCAGGAGAAGATATAGCCGCGCAACACAAGCTACTAGTCATGGATTTACACATCTCAAATAAATCCACTCAAAACAAGATAAAACTGGAACCATGCATCAAATGGGGCAAAAAACAATGACAGATACCTTTGCAATCAATGCAAACATTGAAACAATAGATTCCTCACAAAGTGAAAAAATGCGAACAGACCTTTCATCCAGATTAATAGACACTGCCAAATCGACACTAGGCTTGACAAGGGGAGGCAACAAATCATACAAAGAACTATGGTTGTGGAATGAAGAGGTACAAACCACTATAAATGAGAAAAAAGCCCTATATAAAATATGGTTCAAATCCAAAAACTCAGATGACAAACAAATTACAAAAAATCCATGAGAATAGCTATAAAGGCGGTGGCTAGGGCCAAATAAATGGCATACGATGACATGTATGAAGAACTACATACCAAAGTGGAAAGAATATTTTCAGGAGCTTCTCAACTTTAATCCCCACATACTACATCTAGACGATCACTCCCCATGTCAAAACCTTGTACAACCTATAACAGAACAAGAAATAATCACATGCCTAGAGCATATGAAAAACAACAAAGCTACGGGTCCAGACGATATATCAATAGAAAGCCTTAAAGCATTAGGAGATGATGGAATACATCTCCTCACAAATCTGTACAATAAAATACTTGGAAATGAAGAGGTTCCAAAAATGGAGGCAGAGCTATCAAGTTCCTATCTTCAAAAATAAAGGGGATCCACACAATTGTCAAAATTACAAGGGCATAAAACTAATGTCACACTGTCTAAAACTATACGAAAAAATAATAGAAAAAAGATTAAGAGACATAATCGAAATAGGAGAGACTCAGTTTGGCTTTATGCCTGGAAGATCAACAACTGATGTTATCCACGCAATTAGGCAAATGAGTGAAAAATAAAGGGAAAAGAACAAAAAGCTACACATGGTCTTTCTCGATCTAGAAAAGGCCTTCGATAGAATCCCAAGAAAACTTATCTGGTGGGCGCTACGCCACAAAAAGGTTCCCGAAAAATATATAAGAATAATAAAGGATATGTATATGGGCCATACAACAATGGTCCGTAGCACAACAGGTACTTCAGCAGGCTTCACAATAGCCGAAGGAGTTCATCAAGGGTCGGCTCTCAGCCCACTTCTCTTCATTACAGTAATGATGTATTAGCACAGTCCATACCTCAAACAGCCCCGTGGAATATGATATTTGCAGATGATTTTGTGATACTTGCTGAATCCAAGGATGAAATGAAAGAAAGATTAGTGAGTTGGATAAATATCCTAGAAAAGCACGGACTAAAAGTAAATAGAGAAAAGACTGAGTATATGGTTATAGGAGGAGATGAAACAGAGAGTATTGATATAAATGAATGGCAGAAATTGGCAATTGAAAGCTGCAAATATTTGGGCTGCACTATACAAACAAACGGCACAATAGAAAAAGAGATAAAGAGTAAAATTAATCAAGGGTGGTTAAAGTGGAGATCTTTATCTGGTGTGCTATTTGACAAAAGAATCCCACACAAATTAAAGGGAAAAATTTACAGTTCCATAGTACAACCAACTATTCTATATAGTTCGGAAACATGGCCAACCAAAGAATCAGACGAGAGAAGTCTACAAACTATGGAGATGAGAATGCTGAGGATGATTGCTGGGGTAACAAGAAAGGATAAAGTGCGCAGTACAAGAATACTAAGTAGTTTAAAGGTAGTGCCCATTAAGACTAAGTTAATGGCAAACAGACTTAGGTGGTATGGGCACACAATGAGAAGGCCTATGAACTACATAGGAAATAAGGTTTAGAGTTTGGAAGTGATGGGCAAACGTAAAAGAGGAAGGCAAAAACTTCAATGGGGCCATAAAGATAGAGCCAATATAAAGAAGTATAAATTAGATAAAAGAGATTGTATAAATAACATAAAGTGGAGAGAGATGTTGAAGGAGCTTACCAGAAAAGGTGAAAGCTAAAGAGAAAAAAAAAAATTTTTTCTGTTTTTTACATTATTTTACTTTAGACTTCTAACTTGAGTTGTGAATAAAAATTTACTTGAGTCGACTAGAGGACGAATATTTCTGATTTATCATTAATTAAGATATTTGTTGTTTTTTAGATTTTTTTACTTTAGACTTCTAACTTGAGTTGTGAATAAGAATTATATACTTGAGTCGACTAGAAGACGAATATTTCAAATTAGTTATTATAAATGAAGATATTTGTTCAGTTTTATTACTTTTTTTACTCTAGACTTCTAACTTGAGCCGTGAATATGAATTATATACTTGAGTCAACTAGAGGACGAATAGTTCTATGAACTTGAGTCGACTAAAGGGCGAATATTTCAAAGTAGTTATTATTATTTAAGATATTTGTTTCTGTTTTTTATTTTTTTTACTTTAGACTTTCAACTTGAGTCGTGAATACGAATTATATACTTGAGTCAAGTAGAAGAAGAATAGTTCTATGAAGAACTTGAGTCGACTAGAGGACAAATATTTCAAATTAGGTATTAATATTTAAGATATTTGTTCTGTTTTTCATATTTTTTTACTTTAGACTTCCAACTTAGTCGACTCGAGATATGAACTAGAGGATGAATATTTTATTATTACCTTAAATTAAAAAATCTTTATTTTCGTTTTTAAAAAAATAAAATTATGAATCTGATCTAATTTTTTGAATAAGATCCCACGTTTTCTTATGTGATAAAAAAAATTAAATTATATATTTGTACATGAATTATTAAAATCTAAATCATTATTTTAATTATATATTTGTATATGGATGTGATATCAGCTCAATAAATCTTTTGGCTGTTTCTGTATCGAGATACATTTGTAAATGTATCTAAAAAATTTAGACGATGTATTTAGTAATTTTAAATATGGCAATTCAGTATTTTATCCAGAAAAATATTACGCAACCTGAAGATTTTTCTCATAAATGGCAAATAAAGTTTTGACATCTATTTGCAAAATCTCGAGGCTTAGGTAACATTTTTCTGGCGAAAATATTTAATTAACCATTTTTAATAATCAGTTTAAATGGGGATATTTTTTATAACTAGATGTTAAATTCATTTTTAGATGATGTATCTGGAACCATTTTAAAAGTATCTTTAACAACTCTACTAATCAGCAAGAACAGTAGCATAAAAAATTGTATTCCTATTAGAGATCTGTAAAACACAGCCCGGCATGTGTCTATTTTTTATTTTTTAAATATATCATTCATTACATTTAAATTGATATATTTTTAAAGATGAAATAAATTTTCATTTTTCATCACAAATCATATATTTACAACATAATTTCTTTTTATTATTTAAACAAGAGGTTTAATCTTTATTGTTTGTCCATATTTAATTTCAATATGTATTAAATTAAAATAAAATCTTGTATATTTAAAAATAATAAACTCTTCACTGTAATCGGAATATGAGGGGGAGAAATTTGTTTATAAAATATAATAAATATACATATTGTTACTACAGGGTAATAAAAGCAAAAAATTAAAAAGATTTAACCATATGTTTTTTTTATTTTTACATAATACTCAAAGAATAAATGACGATCAAATATATAATATATGACAAAACAGATTTAAAAAATGCATTAAAATATAAAAAATTGGATATTTTAATTCTCGTTTTTTCTTTATGTATTCCGATTTTCTATATTCCTTTAAAATATATTTAAATATAAATTATTTTTATAAATTTACCTTAATTCAATGGTTGTCCTCGATAACTAATCTCCAAATATTGATGCATCTTATTATAATAACTTGAGAAGTCATAAGGAATAGTAAATTCATTAAGAATTGATGTTACATTATGAAGATTGTTTCTTGTATTTGGTCGGGGATTGATTGACCTATATTTGTTTTTTAATACCCCAAAGAAATTTTCAATTGGATTTAGTTGCGGCGAATAGGGTGACAAATATTCTACTCGCTCTTTAAACCTATCAATGAGGTGGCTTCTATGAATCGATGCATTGTCCATAACAATAACTGCAACACTTGTTATGATATTAATTAGTTATATTCTCGAAATAGTAGACTATTATAAGCTCCCTTGATGATGCGATAAAGTATCACACCTTCGATTCCCATAGTATATAATATACTTAAATTTTTACCCTTAGATAGTGGGACTTTAACATTTGCCGTAATATTGTATGGTACCCAGGCGTAAACAGGTACAACATGTAAATTTGTGCCTCTCTCGTCTAAGAAAATATTTTTTCCCGGCTATATTCAATATTTTTATACAATACAATATTGACTGTACCCGGTGTGTTCCTCCTATCAGGTCCCTTTCCTGCATGTTTTTTGGACCATTTTATTTTTAAAATATATTTCCTTATAGTTCCTTTATTTTTAGGAAATCCTGGAGGTAAATTTTCTAAAATACCTTTAATAGTTAATGTATTGTTAGCCATTAAAAGTTCCATTATTTTTCTTTCTATATTGATTTCCCTGCCTCTCTTTCCAATCAGATAATCTTTCAAAGGGTCTCCGGTGATTTCGGGAAATGTTTCGCGTCTTAATTTATTAATAAACGATAAAGACATATCTAAATACTTAGCGATATCTTTCATTCTCATTCGCTCTCACTCAGGTAGAGATAATAATATTTTTGCTATATCTATTTTTCCATTATTCCAGTTTTTATATTTTCTTGGAATTGCCGATATTAAATTTGCTGGATCAATAATAGAATCACCACTTAAAGAGGGAGAATTGATAATATGGAAATTATTTGTACAGATATATTAGGTATTGAATTAAAATAAACAGAACCAGGATTTGATGTAAATGAATTTGTATTATTTGTGTTACTATATAAAATTTGTAGTATATTAAACATTTGAAAAAAATATTAAACTGTATTTTATAAAAAAAATTTAAGTAATATAAAAATTATAAATGCAAAAAAAATTAAAATTTTACCATATGTATTTTTGTAGTGTTTGTTTTGTTATATATTAATGAATAAAAATAAAGACACGTATTGTTTCATTCTTTTAACTTTTTGTTTTTATTATAATAACTTACCCTGTAAAAGAAAAGTTAAAGAAATATATATTTCATTTATTAATTTTTAATTATAAGCCACTGAAACTCGGGGAAATTTTAATATTTTTGTTATTAAAAAATAATAGTATCCGATCGTTAGGACTGGATATTGGTGGAAATTTTTTTGTGAAAATTTTAACAATTCTTTAATTTTACATTAAAAATGGAAAAGGCGTGTGCTATATTAGAAAGTTAGGACTATAGTTTTTTTTATTCACAATTTTTTAATTTTACATTATAAATATGGAGTATATTATTTAAAAATATGGGCATGTGCTATATTGGATGCCACTAAGTTAGGATTCGAACCGAACCCGGCTAAAATTTTAGCCGGTTTAGCATCCCTGTGTTTAAATAAAGAAATATAAAATTTCTTTGTAAAATAGTGATCTAGCTAAATTAATTTTTGTGGGATAAAAAATTATCCCAATAAAAAAAAGTCAAAAATAAAGTCAATGTTAGTCTGAACATACTAGAGCTCTGGTTCATTCAAAAAATATCGACAATATACATCACAGTATGAAAAATAGGTTTTAAGCAGTAACGCCCCCCCCCCCGATTTTTATAATAAACATCTTGTTGGTATAAAGTGAAGTCTAATACAAAACAAAATATCTTAATTAATAACTAATTTGAAATATTCGGGCTCTAGTCGACTCAAGTTCATAGAATTATTTGTCCTCTGGTCGACTCAAATATATAATTCGTATTCATGACTCAAGTTGGAAGTCTAGTAAAAAAATGTAAAAAATAGAATAAATATCTTAATTAATTAACTAATTTGAAATATTCGTCCTCTAGTTGACTCAAGTTCATAAACTATTCGTCCTCTAGTCGGCTCAAATTGGAAGTCTAAAATAAAAAAAATGTAAAAAATAGAATAAATATCTTAATAACTAATTTAAAATATTCGTCCTCTAGTAGACTCAAGTTGACAACTCAAGTTCATAAAACTATTCGTCCTCTAGTCGACTCAAGTATATAATTCGTATTCAAGACTCAAGGTGAAAGCCTAAAGTAAAAAAATGTAAAAAACAGAATAAATACTTAATTAATATAACTAATTTGAAATATTCGTCCTCTAGTCGACTCAAGTTTATACAACTATCGTCCTTTAACGACTCAAGTTGACGACTAAAGTTCAGAGAATAATTCGTTCTCTAGTCGACTCTACTGTATAATTCGTATTCACGACTCAAGTGGGAAATAAAAAAATGTAAAAAACAGAATAAAAATCTAATAACGAATTTGAAATATTTCCTCTAGTCGACTCAAGTTGACTACTCAGGTTCATAAAACTATTCGTCCTCTAGTCGACTCAAGTTCATAGACTTGCGTTCGCGACTCGGAGTCGACTTTGGTTCACGACTCGAGTCGACTTGAGTTAATCGACTAATGACTCTGAGTCGGAGCCAGGTGAACTCGACTTTTTAACAAACTGCCCATTTTTTATTATAATTTGAAAAATATAAATGAATATTGCTTACTTCTTTTTGGTAAAAATTTCGCAAACTTTTATAATTTCTCTAACTTTAAACAATTAATAAACTTTCACGAAAGTTTATTAATTATATATTTGATATTTAGGTCATAACCTTAAACCAATTACAATTATTCAATATAAATTCAGAATAAATATTATCTGCCAAAAAAAATACAAAACTGACTTCAATTTTTTTAAAATTCGAAATATTTTGTTTTAGTCTTATGGAAAGTAGAAGGAAACTAATAGGTTATGACATCGTAGGAATTATTTAGTTCATATAAATTAAGGCAAAATTGGTTATTAATTAAAGAAATAACGGCAATATAATCACGCGTTTAACTAAAGGTCAACCTTCTCTACAGTTTTGAATGGCATTCGATTCAAATAAAACATTTGAACAAATATTATTTATATATTTTTTTTGTAATAACTTACCTAGCGATTTTTGATTATCACGATTATTTGAAATACAGTTAACAGTATTGTTTTGAGATGGTAAGGTTTGAGGATTATGTTGGCTTAAAGTTTTATTTTTGGTTTCATTATTAATAACGGAAACAAAACAATCAGGGATGGGATTCCTCCTAGGTGGCAATGGATAGTTATGTTTCGGAGATAAAACGTTAGATACGGATAACGTAGATCGATCATAATCCCGTCTCGCAGTTTCAATTATTGCTTTCATAAATTATATGTAATGTATTAATCTTTAATTTATATATGAGGAAAGATAACGCTAAACCTTTACTAGTCTGCAAAAAGCCATATTAAAAAACAAAATTGAAAAATAACGATCATAATTTGATTGATCAATTTTTTTAGGACTGTGCCGATATTAAATATCATGTCGCATCGATATTTAGCATTTTCAAAAAATATCGGATCGGGGATGCCTTAAAACACGATCCGATTTTTAAAATTGTTTTTTTATTATTTACATTATTATAATATTTCAAAACAAAAAATATCGGATCGGGCAGATGCCTTAAAACACGATCCGATTTTTAAAATTGTTTTTTGTTACTTATTTACATTATTATAATATTTCAAAAGCTATTTTATTATTTAGACTTTAACCTATAACGTAATATAAAAAAAATTCAGGCAATGTTTAATAGAATTCTGAATGATTTTAATTTATTTTTAAACGCGTAACATTCAAAATGTTATTTATTATAGATTTAAAGTATTTTAAAAGATTTTTTATTTATTTTTATAAAAATGGAAAAGAACACCCAAGGTTTTATTTATTTTACTTTTTATACATTGGCGTACGCAGCGGGGGGGGGGGGTCAGGGGGCCAAATCCCCCCCCCCCAAAGCCAAAAAATGCAGATGCCGGATATATTTTTCAAAAATATTATTGTTTATATTAATTTATATTTGTTAATATTTATTCGTATCTCATATTAAATATATATTTTATTACATTTATTATCACATTCATAAGTTATTTTATCAATTAATTTCGATTTTAAGTTTTCCGACGTAATATTTACTTATTATTTTCAAATTTTTAGTGGCGTAATATTTATCTACCATTTTCAAATTTCAAGTCAAATAATAAATATTTCTGAAACTTCTGGTCCAACAGGGAAAAAGAAATTGCAACCTTGTCCAACGAGATAGAGCCTCTTCCATCAAGCACTAACAGCTATTAAGGAGTTAGAAGAGCCAATTATTTGCTATTACTGTAATATCACAATGGCCTGAAAGAAATATTTCGTCAGAAGCAAGAAAATTATTGGATTCAATGCTTATTTTAAATTTTATTTCTCATTAGAATGTATTATTTAATTATACAACTATTTTAAGTATTACTTTTCAAAAACATGACATTGATTTGATTAAGAAGAAGAGAATAGCGGAGAGCATTTTATCAGAACTCAAGGAAATTAGGGCTAATGTTGATGAAGAATTTCATATTTTATTGTTGAGTCAAAAGCAGAGCTATACGTGTTTAATATTTGTCTCCCTCGACTTGTAGCAAGGCAAGCTAATCGTTAAAACATTAATATAGGATCAGTAAAGAGTATATCTTAGATGCAGATACATTTATAACCCAAATAAATGAATTTTTAATTCACCATGCAGCACTTACATCTGCAAATATTACTTCCACAAAAGCTTTCCCAACCTTTTTCAGATCGTGATAGAAAAAAAAATATTTGTTAGATTTTTATTATGAAGATGTTAAAGTATCTTATGATGCCTTACTAGCTGAATAACTATGTTTATAAGATTAACTATAGTTGATATAGTCCCAAAAAATGCTATGGATGCTCTGCATTATTTCAAACACATTTTAGATTAAATTCCCAATGTATTAAAAGAGTTTATAAACTCTTCCCATTAGTAAACTAATGAGAGAACACTCTTTTTTAAGAAGAATAACAGAGGCCTGCAGAAGTACCATTTGCAGGGCACGGCCCGGATTTTTTTTAAAGATTTTTTACGGCCCGGCCTGGGTTTTTTTTAAAAAATTTTCAAGCCCGGCCGGGCTTTTTTAAAAAATTTTTTAGGCCCGGCTCGGCTTTTTTTTTTAAATTTTCAGGCTCGGCCTGGCTTTTTTTAAAATAAAATTTTCAGGCCCGGTCCGGATTTTTTAAAATAAATTATTTTTATTTTTATAGCTAATAATAACGATTTCAAATATAGGCTGTTTTAAAAAATACAGCCCGGCCTGGGTGTTTTTTTTAAAATAAATAAGGCCCTGCTTGGGTGTTTTTTTAAAAAAATTCAGGTCCGGCCCGGGTGTTTTTTTTAAAAACTTCGGGCCCGGCCCGGGTATATTTAAAAAAATTAAAATACTGTCCGGCCCAGGGGCCGGGCCTGCAGGTCTCTGAAAAACATACCAAGAAGTATAACATGTGAAAGTAGATTGAAAGGTTTGGATCTTTTGAATATTCATAGGCATTTGACGACAAGCAAGGATGAGATAATTGAAAAATTAGCTCAATCCTAACGAAGACTGGATTTTACATTGTAAATATATAACATACAAAATACAATTATTCCTAAGAAACTTTTTGTGTAAAGGGTCAAAAAATTCAAATTTCTATTGTGGGTCATTTAAGTGATTCTTTACATATAATTCTTTTATAATTCACATTAATTTAAAATTGTGTATTAGGAATAGTTATTAGTCCTAATAAATTTATGCTTGATATTTTTAAAAAACAATAATATTTCTTAAAAAAATTTATTATACCCCCCCCCCCCAGACTAAATTCCTGCGTACGCGCCTGTTTTTAAATAATAACTTGTCCATTTTTATTTATATTAGTCTAAATCGAAAATCTTTTTTTAAAGATTCGAATTTTTTTAAAAAATATTTTGGACTTAACCTAAAATTAAGATGGCATCTGAGTCATGGGACTTTTTTACAAAAGATAAAGGATAATTTTGCTAAATGCGTTATCTGCGGGACTCTTTTCACGGATAGGAATAATGAAAAATTCATTTAATACAACCAATATGCGTAAACATTTACAACGATTCCATCAAACTTCATTTGAAGAGTTATTAACAAATGAACGAAAATATTAGAAAAAATAACTCAAATGAGTCAGCCATTCTAATCAAAACTAATATTTGGAAAAATTCTGATCCAAAATCCATAATTATTTCTACATTTATAGAAGAAATGATAGCCTGTGACAACCAGCGAATTCCTATCTTGGAGGATATGGATTTAAAAGGCTTTTACATAAAATTATCAATAGAAAATATTTTTCACAAGGAGTTATTCCATATGAGATACTCGCCGAAAAAATTTGTAAAGAAATTTTGGTTGAAAATTCTTATCTTTTCTTTGTCGTCGATATATGAATAGAAATTCAGTTAGCGATTCTATCTCATCCTTATATAAATCAAAAGTTTAAACGAATAGAGTTCTAAATATTAAAACATTTAATGAGTCACATTCAACAATAAACATTGTTCATATTTTAGACGAGATAACTATTGGGGGATAAAAAACAAAATACACTTAATCATTCGTGGTAATGAGCCTACAATAGCCTTGGCCATGAAGTACGGGAAATTTCAGAGTTTTTTGGTTTGTCCATAGTTTATAATTGGTTGTACATACAGCAATTTTATCACAGAATCAATCATTTACATGTTTGCTGGGAGAAAAATAGTAGGACACTTTAAACATTCGTCCATTTCACAAAATAGTCTAAAAAAGGTTCGATTGAATCTATAAACACAAATTAATCCAGCGAACGATTGAGAGAACAAAAATGGGCGGTACAGCTATTCATTATCGATAATACTAATTTAGGAAATGTTTCATTATGAGTGAGAATTAGCAGAAAAGGTAAATGATGTCCTGGAACCAATTCAGATGATTTTTAAAATAAATATCTAATCCTAAAGAGAATTCCAGGCTTAATAACGATTAAATTTCAGCAAGAAAAAATATGCCTCCCTGAGATTCGATCTTAGGGAAATAACAAATTGTTTAAAAAAAATTATTATTTAAACTTGAACTTTATAATTTTAATATTAGAGTCGGGTAGTTGTTCATTATATTCATGTATATTAAAATACATTTTCAAACAGATCATGATTTATTAATAACAATTATATGAAGGTTAAAATAAATAATAATTCCTAAGGATATTTACACTTTTTTAATAGTTTTCCTTCATAATATAACCAAATTAAATTTTCCCAATAGCAATGCTTGGTTGGCTAAGAGGTTATGACCTATGCCAACATAATCGTAGACTTGGGGTGGAGCCTGGTGAGTGTATTTTTTGCTAAAGGAAATTAATATTAGAAGCGGAGTTTTTTAACATAAAAACTGATAACAAGAACCAGCGTGGTTAAAGTAAGCGTTACTTGAAAAAAATAGCTGTAACACGGTCCTTTTAACAAAGGTAGCCACTACTTTATTTTTAAAAGGTATAATAAATATAACTATAAACACCAAAATTAAAATATAATTTCATAATTAATTCAAATTTATAATTTCAAAATTTGTATTATAAACCTAAACCATCTGGCGCAAATTATTTAAAACGGATATTGAAATCGATCTAACTGAGTCAGAAAAGAAAATATTAACGAAATGGAAGGTACACTTTAAGAAAATGAAATTCTTGATAACAAAAGTTTCCTTTCCCAAAATTTGAAAAATATTTTCAAATTAAGGTGGCTACAAATTTATCTATTCAAAATTTAGAAACATATATCCTCAAATCAGATATTTATTAACTCCTAACAACCCTAGATGGAATTCTATTTATAATGCATTCCAATTAGTGGAATTTTTTCTGGTTTAAGGAAGATTGGAAATGGATTTTCTCGATCAAGTTGGAATTCAATGGATTAACGATGAAAAGCATACTTTTATAAAAGAGAATAAAGAAATTCTAATGAATAAATATTCAATTTCATTTTAATAACTTAGGTTATGCAATATATGGCTGTTTCCCTTGAAATTTTGGAAGGTGAGGATTATATGAAGATAAGATATTATGTTCCCACTTTGAGTACCCTAACTACAAAATTAAAGAAATTAAATAATCTAAACTTAAGCCAACCCCTAATAGACTCTATACTAAAAGACACTGAAAGAAGGTAATTTTCTATACTCTGAAAATTTTATTTTTACTGTCAAAATAATGTAATTATTGATCCATAACAATTGATTTTAATTAATTTGGA